ATGGACTTAATTGTAAATATTGTAACAAATCCAGGGGTAATGTGCAATGATATAAAAATAGGTTTTTAAGTCTAGGATTTGAGGATGGCAAAAGAAGGAAAACACGGCGTAAATTTTCGTTAGATTGTCGCCATGGATTGACTCAAGCCTTCGTTGCTTGATGTCGCCTTGCTTTAGCTCGAGCGACAGCTTGTCGCTGAACTGTCGCTCGAGTGACAGTGTTGTCTGAAAAATTTTTATTTCGCAATTTAAAGGCTTTTTCTCTGGCCTATTACTTTTCTAACCTACCTATAAATACCAAAACACATCTAAACGTAAAAAATAAGGTTGATCATTGAGAGAACTTCATCATAGAAAATTTCTACACATTCATACTTTCAACCTTCATCCCATGAGTTTGTTTTGGTGAGAAAAAAGTGAGAAAAATATCAATTTCGTAATTCAAATACCAAACTGTTCTTTTCACCGCATCTGTCAGAGTTGCGGAAGATCGAGATAAGTTGACCAGAGTTCCAGTTGTTGAAGAATGCTGTATTCTTAGTGAATCCACATGAGATAAACGATTTCACAAAACTAAGAGTTGCCGCAGAAGAGTACAATCTAGGAGAGTTTTGGAAACTGCAACTGGGAGTGGTGCAGAAGCACAGTATCAGGACAACTGTCGGAATTGCAGTCAGGATATCAGATAATACGTGTCGTCGTTTAATCTGGTAGACTGTAAGTTACAAATTGTTTATAGTGGATTGTTGATTGGCAAAGTATTCGGAGTTTTTACCCAATTGGGGTTTCTCCATGATCATACAGTGTGTTTTTACTGCTTTCTTTATTGATTATATTAACTGCGGTTGTTAAACATATGTTAAATTGACTTGCATGTTTAATTATCTAGAGATAATTAATTGGTAACATATTGCTAATTAATTAAAAATTTTAATTCCGCATAATATACATATTCACCCCCCTCTAGGTATTGTTAGGATCAAATTTTGTAACTTTTAGTTCTATTTCGTACTTTGATAAACCGTAATAGATGTTAATAAGCTAAAAATAATTATTTTTGGATCCAAAAAATTAATAATTACAGATATGTCAAATACGTGTTACTATCTTTTTCTAAGCATAAGTTTTTTAAATGAGCATTTTGAATAAAAAAGTGAATATTACATAACAACAACACAATATTGATAAAAATTGACTTACTCAGGTAAAATATCTTATTGGTCATTCAACTTGTAGCCCGGTTTTATGACTAATGTGAATGAATTAACGTTATATGAACAAATTGAAACCTCCCTATAAGTTTAGAGACCAATTTATGGTTTTAAAAGATATCAATAAATAATTTCAAAATAATTCAGCAAATTTTGTGACAAATTGTGTATTATTTCTAGTACGAAATGACTCGATCAATCATGAATCATCCACTTTATTAGTTGAACCATAGCAATTGTAAAGTAGCAACCAACATCATCAATTGAGAAGGACACTAAATGCTATATCTTAAATTAATTGATCCAACATATCCACAAAGGCCAACTTAAGAAGCATGGTTTGCTAGGTATATGTCTCTATAATCCTTGTCAAGATCACATGTTTCCCCTTTCGTATTTGTTTATATTGTCATACACATTTGATGTTGATCCATCACTTTCTAGGCACCTCAATAGGGTCATTGATTATGAGAATATGATACATGAATTACCGATATTAGATACTAATTGATTTTGCATCGATACCTATTTAATGTGATATATAATGTGAACTTACTCTAAATGCAACGCAATATACTTTAAAATTTTAAGTGTTAAATCAGATCTCGGACCAAATATTAATTCTAAGTAGTTTCGTAATTTATCGAATTCATAATTTCTAAAAAAATGTTGTATATGACACATGAGTTTCATTGTTTAGAATTATTGGATTTGTCCACAAGCATGTGTAGTACTATTGTATGTGTACGGACACACATGGCAAACTTTAGGGGCCCACAACTGACACGTGGACAATGCACCCATCGCATTAATGCTGACGTCAGAGCTTAGATGAGGAGGACACGTGTGCTGAATTCAACCAGTCCCTGTACGAGGAACATACTTTCTTCTTAAAAATGGTAAAATGAAAGTATTGTTGGCTACGAAGGCTTTAAGCTACACGTTGCAGAATGTGACTCCTATTGTGCAGTTAGAAACTTAGAATTCTTCTACCAGAGTTTCTTTTGCGCCAAATGCTACTGTTTTGTCTTATATTTTTTCGTTACTTGGCAATGAGTTAAGGTTCTTGTCGCTTCATTACACGAAATGGTAAAAAGTAACCCATGTGCTGAAATTCAGAAGCCAGTTAGTCTGTCAAATCGATGAATTAATAATAAAATAAAAAATCTTGGTGAGGTGGGAGTAGGGGTAGGGGTATGGTGGGGTTTCAAGCTTTCAATAATTTTTCATTCTTCACAAGGAGAGCTGTTCTGTGGACAAAAGCCACAATTTGATGGGATGACAGCAAATTCTTGAATACTTGTCTGTTGCTTCGGACTATGTGCACTGTCATTCGTACCTTCTGCTCCTACTTACATGCATATACATACATTTGCTTGTACGTATATGTGCATGTAAGTGGAAGTTAAAAACATCTATTTTCTTTAATTCTTGGGGTATCCCTTGAAAGCTTCCGAATTTTTAAAGCCATGGTGATGGTATATGGTCTATTAACATGCAAATTGCCAAAAATATACATATCTTTCTATTTAATATCCCCTACCTGAAAGAGATGAAATAGTACAGTAGATTTGCTATCTGCAACTGAGGGAAAATAGTAAACCTTTTCAGATACGAATACGGTATACAAATATTCTTACACGACATCCACCGAATGTTACAACTTTCAAGCATAATATCTAATCGAATTCTTCAAGTTTTATTCGATTCATTCATTAAGAATTCAATCTCTGAACATCTACCAACTGGTAAACATCGCCTCGCCATTGCTTCTCTAGTGGGAGGTTTTTTCTGAACATACAAAATAACTTTGAGAATGAGATATAAATAGTGAGAAAACAACAAACTGAGATTGTACAGTTTGCAAACAAGATACAAAACATGTTCTTTAAGGTGTTTCACCTCATGAGCTCAATTTGTGAATAGTCAATATCTGATATGATTATTGCCTCGCCGTGTTCAGTGGTGGCGAGCACTTCTCCAAACTGCCAAAAAAATAAAAAAAAAAATACCCATAAGAATAGAGTAGCTCACAATTTTGCTGCTCTAGCTGTTTTTTTTCAACGACTGTTCGTTGGACAGGGTATGTACCCATTTTATTCCATATGCTAGTTTTTGAAAAGTCAAAAAGAGCTTTTGAGACCAAAAAGCTACTTTTGAATTAATTTAACTAATTTTGTGAAAGTGTTTTAGGTAGTTAGAAGATTTTTTAAAGAAAACTGGTTTCATGTGATTTCCTCTAAAAGTACTTCCGGAATAGGAAGTGCTTTTACAATTAGTTTTCAAATAAAAATTAAGGTAGCTTCATCCAAAAACTCTTCTACAAGAAGCAAAAACAAAAACAAAAGCTATGCAAACGGGCCTATATCAATTTATAATAGTGCTATTATCCTCACCTCATTAAAAAAATCCCCATCAAATAGCCGATCATATTCAATAATATTGTCCGATGTGGAAAGTGAACTAGCTCCAGATAACTGATTTTGCTGTTAAGTTATGCATGCATCTATCATATTTCTAAATTCTGCTAAACTATTTTGTTACATTTGTCTTCCTATGCTTTAGATCTCTAGTAGGTCTAAAATGAATATAGCATAATGGCATAGAATAATTCATGTAAAACCCAAAACTAGCAGAGAATAAGGCTTAGATAGTTGTTGCTATTGTATCTTCCCATCTTTAATGACCACACCCCCTTTGCCCATCCTTAATTTTGGTTCTTTAATTTTAATGGCTTGTTTGGTAGGGTGAAATGTATAGTACCAGATAAAATTAGAGAAGGAAAAAGAAAAAATTAAAACGTTATAATAGGTATGTTCAATCCAGTTTAATACTACGCCATACATGCTATAAGTGCATTAACTCACAGGTCCTACAAGTGTTGAATGACCCCAAGCAACGTATCCAGCACCGACATCTCGAGCAGGTGAACAGCTTGCTACATATAACTGTCAAATTAATTGTAACGATGAAACAACTAAAATTAATCCCAAGAGGAACCATAAATTATGTGTTCATAAACTAATAAGCAGATGATGGTACCAATCAGAAAGTTCAATCTAGTTTAAATTTCATTTTACAAGAATAAACTTCACACCGATGAGCAGAATATAGTAATAAAGGAGTTCTGAGAATTTTTGTTTTGTTTCATTTTCTCCACCAAGTCATGCAATGGTCTTCATTTCGTTACATGGCACTTTCCAGTTTCTACACCATATTTTCCTCAACAAAGAGCATCCAAACATCATAATACTGATACAATATGAACCTAGTTGTTGACGAAGAGAATATCTCAATTAGATTTCAAAGATACAAGGAGTTATGAGAATGTTGAACCGACCGACTAGAAACTTAGTTAATCAATAAAAGCGGAATAAAATGTTTTCCCCTTCTTCCTCTTAACGTCATAAAATGTCAAGAATATTTTGAAGTTTCAATCAATTGATTTCCAGACAAAAGCACACATATACACAGACACAAGTTAGGTTTTTTACGAGACTAAGTGACTATTCATTTGAAAGTTGAAAATACTTTAATTCCATGCCAACCCAAAAAAAGAAAAAAAAGGATTCATCAGTTATCCATCCAAGAAACCAGTTGAACAAAGATTTTCCTAAGTAATCAACTGACAGCAACAGATTGGAAGCAAATTTAGACATCCTTCAATAAGAAGGGAGATGAAACAATAGGTATTTTTAGAGATACCTGATTGTCCAGAGCCCTGCATACAAGAGTGAAGGGCGTCAGATGATATATGATGAAATTAGAAACAGAAATGACGACAAAATAACATCAAATGATGCTACCATATGTATGAATTCTATCCCTATTCTCTAAAAAAGCCACCCATCCAAACTTAATCCCAATGGCCAAGGGCATTGGTCTGAGTTCTGTAGGTTCACTATAATATGGGCAGATGAGAAACTTTTAGGAAAACCATTTCATACAAGTTAATGGATTAAATGTTAGTTTTCAGTTTGACTGGTGGGTAGAGGGGTTTGGGTTCTCAACAAGCTGAGCTGGAACAGTTCACCATCATCTGTTTGCTCAAACCCAAACACAATTCATTGTCAGACAATTTGAATTGGAATTCAACCCAACTTATCATCACAGCAACCTTCATCCGTTTAACACTCAACATAGCCAATAACATCTTTGATCATTTTTATCCCTACATATTAGAAAAAAAGCAAAATGACTCTACAAACCAGCAAGTAGTAATGTAAAAACATATATGTGCCGTAGTCTCATACACATATACGAATATATATAAGAATATTCTTACACATAAGCACTTGTGTAGCACACCTATAACCTTGGGGTTCAGAAAGCGCTTAATTATGGAGGCTTTAAGAAGTACGAGTTAGCTAAACGGAAAGCCAAAAGGGTGCTTAGAATGTTACAGACACGCATACAAAAAGTTGTATAATTATCTTTTGATGAAAAACAAAAATTACAAGATTTATTTATACATAAAAGAAATTAATTTCAAATAAGTTAGTGAACTAGAGGCAGATTCTTATTTTAATTGGTGAGGTTAGAAGGACTAGGTGTTCTTTCTAGTTCATAATCTGGACTTTTGAAGTGTCAAGCACATTGCTTGGATATAATAAACTGGGCCACTGGACAAGCCAATATAGTGTTTTTAATTTCATGTAGAAGGCAAGACAAAGGACTCATCAAAGCCTGTATGTAGAATTGTAAAAATACTGCAAATATCCAACACTAATTACATTGCATAATTACCTTGCCCTTTGCAGTACCTCCCAGAGAAATGGTCCAGTAGTCATGTTGAATGCCCCAGGATAGCAGAGCAAGTGAGCCCCTAAAACAAATATTTTACCGTCACTAAGTAGACAGTAACAGGAAATCAACCACAAGGGCAAGAAAATTATGGGCAGTTGAGAGCATGATTTCAATCTTGGTTTGAAGGGTGGAGGGTGCATTGGATATAGAGATAATGTGTGTTATTCCAAGTAGTCTATCATGTCTAAGGTATAGAAACAAATATCGTTAAACATGAAGATAATATAATTGAGACACTACTAAAGAAATTAGGCCATATGCATAATCCGCACAAAGTATAAACTCTAAATCCATTTGCATGAATGCCAGGTTTTGAGTGTGGATGGCATGTGGTGGCTGACTGCTTCCCACGAGAGATTTTGTTTCTGGGAGGTTATAACGGACAAGCACAAAGAACTTTCTGATGATATAATCAATTAATGCCAAACATAATTTACCAAGTACAAATATTGACCTAGCAACTTCAGAAAGAAAATTTAGGTAGTACATCCATGTGCAATGCCAAGTTTACTATACAAATTGATTACCCTGTAGAAGAACTCAGAAGAGGACAAGGGACTTCCAGAAGAGCGATATACACAGGGAAATGATTAATATCTCTTTTTGTCAAACTAAAATCACCTCACCACTTTCCCAAACAGATGCTTATATTAATTCTAATTGGTAGACAAAAGCTGGAGATATTGCAAAAAGGTATCTTCTCATGGATTAGATGATATGGGGATTGTAAGCCCAGAAAAGGCCAAAAATGATTTTCATCATAATGCGTTAATCAGTTGCCATGTAAAGACTAAGCAATTGCTATGAGCAATTCAGAGAATGTCTGTAACTTATGTGACAAAAAAGTTGAAAGAATAATCTCTAGCATGCAAACAAACCTCTAGATGCATAGAGCATTGCCAGTTCTGGAAATCTAATGTCATGGCAGATACCTATACCAATCCGGCCAACCTCTGCAGACATTGAGTTTCACTGTTAGAGAAAGCCGTGATTTACATTAAAACGGAGAGTTTGTTGATCAACACATACATAACACACCGATGTACTAAGCACCCCAAGGAGGGAAATATATTGTCAGGTTAAGCCCCTGTTTGGCCCCCATTATTTTGCGTTTTTTATGGTTGAAAATTTTTAGAATAGTGATTGATGAGAGAATGTGTGGTGGAAAAGTAATGAAAAGTTTTAGATTTTTGTGCAATATTATTTTATTTGATGAATGTGTTGTTGTAATGAAGAGATGTTGTAATGAAGAGAGAGAAAAATTTAATATAATGTAACGTAATTTAATGGGGGCCAAACAGGGGCTAAATCAACGTTCTCTCTTAATAATTTCATTGTCTTTAACTTTTCTTGATATTTTTCTAGTGCTTTATCACCTACATCACATTCCTAGTATTTGCCATATCAGCTTTAGTTGTTCCTTGTCAGATGGAGCTATTTACACCATTATGGGCATAGTCACTAAGACTCAGTACCGTCGAGTCATTTAAATGTTGTATAGTGTTGAAAATATAGATACTTAAAACTTTGTAATATTTACATGAAGCATGTTTCAACATTGTCCCGAGGGTGGAAAGGCAGGGTTAGAAATCTTATTCTTGGTGCTGCTAAATGGATGGATCTTATCAATGTTCAAGAATGATAAATCAGAGATCGAACTGCCCAAGCCAAAAAAACAAAAAAATGAAGCTAAATTTGGAAACCGAAGTCAGGCCGTTATATGCTTTCTTTTGCAGTTCTCTAAAACAAGATGCATAGTGGTCCTTACTGTAGAAAAGAGTATTTGAAAGACCTATGCAATGATACCTCAAGTTCCATTGCACATCGATTTACTATAGAAGTTTCAGATCTCTTTTCTAGGATGCAAAATTTTACATAATGAAGGTCTATCATACATGATGTGTATAAAGTAGCCAAACAATTTTAGAAAAGTTTTTAAGTTCAACATAGAGAAGTCCTAGACCTCTTTCATCAGGTTTTAATCGTCATTTTATTACAGTTCACCAAAACTTATTATATAAATTTATCATCTTTCACTAAGATATTGTCACTCAGCCAAACCCACCTTGTAACTAGAAATAACGTAAGATACTAAAGGTTTTCTTATTCTTTTCTCCTAAAGATATTTAAGCATTTAAAATCAGTATTTCAAAACAAACATTGTAAGAAATCTCCAACAATTGCCTTAGCGAAAGAAAATAAAATTTTCCCCAAGGCTTGATGAAAGGAATATGCAACCCGAGGCGTACGGATGTCATGAAAAGAAACATGGAACAAGAACAGCCCATGATGTACCATACATGCTTATTAAATTAAAAGGAATCATAAATTTGATAAATAATAAATACATTCCAAAATGCGAATACATCTTCTGAATAGCATGCCAATTTAATGAAGGATAATGTTGACCTCGAAAATCGACGAGAACACGTGACCAACAGATTTCGGTTACACGGCAGTCCAAGCGTCATATTCCTTCACGCTTGGACAAACGTCGAGTGTACGTGACCTTATCTGATGCCGGGGAAGGTGGCAACATCTCCCATAAATAAGCCAGTCAATTAATATTTGAGTGTGAAAAGGATAATGAACGAGAACCACAAAGCGTGTATGAAGTCGAGTTGAAGAAATACTAGTAAGCAATGTTACTGTTGAAGGTGTAAAATTGCATTACATTCGAATATAACCAAATATGATCTTTTACAGTGAAAGGAAATAGGTGATTACTGTCAGATATGTGAGACGTGTCACCATCCTAATAGATTACTGGTCAACCTCATAGGCATCACATTCGCCATCCTATGTCAAAGGTGACTTTAAATGAACTAAAAAGTGACCACCTTATGTTGCAGGCATGTTACTTAAAAGTAGACTGGAATGTTGAGTAAGGAGCTTCTACTGCAGAACTCGCAATCAATTAAATGTACGGAAGATCTCTAGGAAGAAGCAGTATTATGGAAAATGTCTTGTGAAACAAGGGCTCATCGCTTCGAATATGTATTGCAGTAGCTCGTGACACCTCGCTTCATAAATAGAGATTCGACCTCTACCAATGACACTTAGGTTAAGATGCTTAATCCACTTTGACTTAACTTGATAACCTCGATTAGGATAGCAAAGCAAAGTGACATATCTTAGTTGACTGCCAGGTAACCTATCTCATGGGACGAGAGTAACGATAGTACTCCCAGTCCAGACTTATTATTTATATAAAATGTGTACGTTGATAGAAGTGTGAGATGAATAAGAGCCATGCTAGTTGTACAACTGAGATTGACAACCACTCACATGGGAGGGGGTCCACTTTTTATTTTGAATTTTTCAAACATGAGGACCCCGCACACATGTGAGAGGTTGTCAACCGAAATTGTCAACCTCGGTTGCACAAATAGAATTTTTCGATGAATAATATGTCCATGTTTGACTCTTATTTTTTTTTCCAAAACTCATTTTTTTAAAATTTACTCCTATAAAATAATTTTACACGTAAACTCAATTTTTTTTTTATTTTTTAACTACACTTTCTAAAAAAAAAAAATACTATTCCAAACACATTTCTCAAAAAAAAAAGGTCTCAAACAGGGGCTATATGTGAACAGAGGGCTTATGAGCTACATCTAAAATTTAGTTTTGAGTAAGGGATGTGGCAACCGATGCCCAATACCTAGTAATCGTAATTAGAGAAGTGAAGACGATAAGTGGTGGAGTGTTTCAATCATACTCATTCCGAGGTGACTTTAGGACAAAGTGAGTAGGTGCTTTATCGTGACGAAGCGTAACAAAATAGTCCCTCGAGTCCAAGCATATATATTTATACAAGTCATGGGCTTTGATTGATGATGAGGTCTGTGTGCCTAGGCAATGAGTACTAAAGCAAAGTTACATTGCATAGGAGGAAAGCAATTGTAGGGACGAAGGCCTAACATACGGGTGAAGCATGTTCGCACGGTCGAAGTATTGCTACAGAGGTGAGGTACCCAATACATAAAGGAAAAATAGTTGCTAAGATGAA